TGGTGGGGGGGGGGGGGGGGGGGGCCAAAAATGATCCGGATTTTTTTCATGGGGGGAAAAAAACCTGGGGACCGAGGGGGGTTTTTTTTTAAGGTTTGGGAATTGTCCCCCGGGGGGGGGGCTGAACTCCCCCCGGAAATGGGGGGGGCCCCCTTGGTTTGAGGGGGAAAAAAAGTAGGGGGGGAAACCCCTTCCCTTGGGAGGGAAAGGGGGGGGGGGGTGGAACAACCCTTCCCCCGGCGGGACAAGTGGGGCCGGGGTTTTCCCCCCCAAAAAAAAAAAGCGATTTTCGGGGGTTTTTGTTTAAAAAGGTTAAAAAAACATTTTCCCCCCCTAAAAAAAAAAAAAAAGCCAATTTTTTTGAGTTTTCCCAAAGGGAACAGGGGGCTCTCACTTTACCGGAAAAGCCCCTCGAAGGCCGTATCCTCACACTACTACGTTCCCATTTAAATACGCAAATACTTTGCTGTGTTTACACAGATCTTCTACACGACGCATGACTTTAACAAAAAATTGAAGGTTAGAAATGCTGTAGAAGACGGATAACTTTGAAAATTGGGTCTGAGCAGTACCGGTTTCCTTCTCCAATTCGGCATGCCTCATCTTTCCGGAAGATCCCAGATAACAGCCTTAATTATTGATTAACCATCAGTTTTTTTGGTTGTTAATGAAAGAGAAACACCTTCAGCATTATAACCAAGTCAGAAAAATAAAACGTGTCACCATTATTTTTATTTTTAAGTTTATAAATCAAGATTTTAAAAAAACGTATGTTAAAACAGCCTTTTAATTTCAAACTCAGCAATGAAATCCTTCTCTCAAATATCAAAGTACGAATAAACTAATAATATTTTCAAGTAGATGGGCTTTTATTTTAAATGAAATTTGGGATTAGGCTGATAAAAAAAAGTAAATTGATGGGAGATGTAATTGATTCATTAATTAATTGATTAATCTTTACTAATTAATTGTCATTAATCACATTTTTAAACCTGCTTGTAAAAGGAAAATGTTGCTGCCAAGATTAAAGCAGAGTCGAGTTGAAATACTCACACCAGCCAATGGACATATTCAGTTTCATTATCCAGAAGATGCTCATCTAAAAAAAAAGAAAAGACAAGTTTTATTTTCAAACGGTTCGTAAATGCGAAGAATTCATGAATAAAGTGTGTTGATTAATTCGTGAGAGGCCTCTTGTGGTAGCAGATGCTGACCTGGACAGGTGAGCAGAAGGATCCACAGGGAGCCCTCCTCTGCATCGAAGCTGATTTGAGGGAAAGAAGCTGCCTAAGGAGAAATGTAAAAGGCAAGAAACAGACGTTTAAAGGAAAGATGGGTAAAGAGCAGAAAAGTGAATAAAAGGAAATGCAAGGTACATGGAGGGGGCTTTGCCTTAGAGGATGCAGGGGGAGGTTTAACTTCAGGTGACCTTGATCTTTGGAATATACATTCCAGGC